CAAAAAAAAACAAAAAAAAAAAAAAAAAAAAAAAAAAAAAAAAAACAGAAAAAACAGTGAAAGGAAAAAAAAAATAAAACACCACAACAAAAGAAAAGCAAAGAAAAGAAGAAGACGACTAAGACGAAGACGATGAAAGAAAAAAAGGATGCTAATTAAATTTATGTTAACATCTCACATAAAAATAACGGAACCATAAATACTATCCCAACATACATACATACATATATGCAAATATAAGCATGTATATATTAATATATATACATAAATATATATATACAAACATATATATATATACTATGCTACTTTCTCATTCACACTTTGTTTATCTTATAAGCTATAAGATTGCAAGAGTGAATTACATGTCCACGGTTTTATGACTTTGAAGTCATAAAAGTATCTTGAATTTTTTTTTTTTTTTTTTGCAAATTTTTATTGCTATAAACCTACATACGAACACACCATAAAGCATTTAAGTGTAAATTGAAAGGTACGCGTTTGTATAAAATTCGGGATCAAAAGCCAGGTGTAATTTGAAACAACATAAAACAACAAAACATAGTACAAGCACACAACCACATCTATACATGTAATATGCTTTATTTTTGTACTTATACATATATATATATATATATATATCTATATATGCATATATATTACATACAAATTGTGTGTATATACATAAATAAAAATTTCGAATATAGCTTATATGTGCACGTCTATATAAATATATATAGTTTATATATCTGTATACGGTCTTCATAAAAGTTCAAAATGTAAAGTAATTCTTGTAATAAAAACTTTAAGTATGACCAAGAACGACAACAACAGCAGCAGTATCTTCATTTCTGCATATATAAACATAATATATATATAAAAAAGCACAAGAATATAAATTAAACGAAAACATGTTAAGCATTATAAGAGGGTTTGTGTCTTAAGTCTTTTTCTTACTTTGCTTTACTTTAGTTTTAAAACGCTTTGTAATGTTCGTATATATGCGTACGTATGCATATTATGCACAGCATGATAACATTCTACAAAGTTTGTTATTTAAGTCGTTTGTTGCATGTACATCTTTTTCTCAGTGCGTGTGTGTGTGTGTGTGTGTGTGTGTGTGTGTGTGTGCGTATGCTAAGTAATTTCTTCATAAGTATTTACTACCAATTAACTAAGTTTGTGTTTTAAGTTTTTTTTCCTCTCTCTTTCTGTTTATTTGGTAAACTTCAAGTCATTATTAAATAAATCGGTAAATATCAAAAGATAACAAATGAAAAAGAAAAAAAAAACAAAAGTAAAAGAAAAACTTCTTTTTTATTTTAACACATATGAACTTTAATTCATGCGAAGAGAATCAATGTATTTGTTTACAGGCGGTATTTAAAGGTTTTCTTCGTTTCTTTTGTTTTCTTAAATAGAGATAAAGAGAAAAAAAAAAAAAAAAAAAAGAAACAGAATAAGGAAGAGTACAAGAGAAGAGAGCAAAAAAAAAAAAAAGGGTTTTACCGCCAAAAACTGTTTAAAAAATAAAAAATATAAAACACTTCGTGAAAGTCCAAGCAACAACGCTAAGCAACAACGGCAACAACGTCATCATTAACCATTAACATCATTATCATGGAGTATAACATAGAGCACACACAACGACAACGACTGCATCAGCCTACGCATCGTTTTTTAACGGTTAAATACTTTTTAGCGGTAAGTGTTTTGTGATGATTAGTAAAAAAATTTATGAATGTAGATAAATACGTATGAATGCAGTTCGAGCGTGTACGTCGAGCATGTAAAAGTGACCATACATAATATATATATATATATATATATATATATATATAAGCAAATTTTAGACAAATTCACAATCTTTTGTTAAGTATAATATATGTTATGTTAAATTTGCTATCTGGTATGCATTTGGAAAATAATTGGTCATAAATATGCTCATATATGCACTTATATCGTTCCCATTGCAAAAAAGGAGAGCCAACGTATACACGAGCAAAAAAGAAAAAAAAAGAAAACAAACAAATTGTTTACGATATATTATTGTTGCTCTTAGTTAACTGAAAATTGCATTGCAAGGAATTAAAGGGAACAACGTATGCAATTAACCTAAATTTTATTTTAAATGTAAATTTTAAACAAAAAATTTCCCAGTATTTATACTGAAAATAATATATTATCAATAACGTCAGCACGCAACTTGCTTGATTACTCAACCCGAGCTCCGCTTAATAAAATCAATGAAATTCTTGAAAGATTTGAGGAAAACCAGCAGATTTCCTCTACTGATATGATATGGTTATGAATATATATGAAAACAAGTAAGAAAGTTATATTCGGCGATCCCGAATCTCTCATACTCATCACTATGCTTTTCGCCACTCTTTTCTATTCTATTCCAACTACTTTTATTTAACACCCATATCGCTGGTATTATTAAGAAAAACTTTATCGCGATCTATATCTATCATAATCATTTTAGAACTAAATCACTTTTTCCATTTTCGCACATGAAGAGTCGACGATTTTTGTAAACTAAATGTGGAAAATATCAAGCTTCCAACTTAAATAATGTCCAAGTAACGAGCAAAAAGTCGCAAATTTTTGTTAAAAAAAACCGAGTTACTTTCAGTTTATGCTTTGCTCCGATCAATTTGGTCCATTTTCAATATAAACCTGCGTGCAAAAATTTTCATTGTTTGTACTAAATTTGCAGGCGATATCTTCATTTTTCCAACCAGGAGAGTGCCAGCAATAAACACTACACAGACGGAGAGACGTGGCTGCAGCAATTCACAATTTCACGGTGATCAAGAATATATATACTTTATGGGGTCTCTGAAGATTCCTTTTGGGTATTACATACATTATGAATATACAGATGAGTAGAGAGATAAACAGAGTGGACTCTCAAGACCATAAATATAGCTAAACCTACTTAGAGGACATTACACTTTACCTTTAATCCTCAGCCAAACTAAGTTATTCAGAAAATTGTTATTGTTATTATGTTGTCCGCAGCTTTCGTTGTGAATGTGAATATATCGTAAATTCGAAAACGATCCCTCAAAGATTTGATTATGAATTTGATCGGGGATTTTCAATGATATGATGAATGCATTAGGGGAGAATTGGACTTTGCCAACTACCTATCCTTAGATTGTTTGAAAATTTCTCGCACGAAATGTCTGATTATCCCGATAATCAAAGTCAAAGATATTTCTCTTTGTCTCTCTCTCTCTCTCTCTCTCTCTCTCTGAAAAGCTGCTCAAGCATTAGCGTAAAGAAAGTATTGACCAGGTGCATGGCATATTCGACAAGTCGAATCAACAATGCATTCGATCATATATGTGTAGCAGACTGAGTGCGGAATTTAGACTTGTGCCCGTTTGTTCAGGTACAAATTGAACAAAGTGTCAAGAAAAGGGGCACAAACTTTATTAATATAATTAATATATGATAGCTTTGATCAGAAAAGAGAACGGACGGATATCTTAATTTATTGTTTAAAATTTTTGTAATCAATGGAAAAATCATGTATTAGAGAGCAACGCGACAATTCACCTACAGATTTATTGTATTCATTTCCGATCAAAGCCATTTTCCTTCAAAATATATCTCCTTAATGTGTGTGGATAGTATAATAAATTTGCACAAAAAAAAAGAAGAAAACAAGAAGAAAATTTTACTCCGATTGTCGTTTTATACAAAGCAATTGAAATACTTGTCTAATTATTTATTCAAGTTGTAGTTTGCATTAATTTTGCTTATTCAACGTTTATCAAAAATTTCGTGATTTTTCAAAGACCTTCCATGAGCTGGATGATGTAAATCCATGAATCTAGACTTCTAGATTCATAGATGGAGGACCTAAATCTGATGTAAAATAAGTAAAAGAAAAAAAAAAAAAAAAAAAAAAAGACCTAACAAACTTAGTTTATTTTCATGCTTTAGTGATTGCTAAAACCGGTCAGAACAGTTTACCATTAAAAGTTAACGTTCCATTAAACTTAATTACGAAGTGCTCTCCTTTAGACATTATTTAATTAACTGTTAAGATAATCTATTAAGGGGATAGTGTATATATAGCCTTTTAAGAATAAACTACTGAATACTTTTATGTATTTACATGAAATATATAAAAGCAACAGGTATTATATATATATACATATATATATATAGTATATATAGTATATATATATATATATATATATATATATATATTATTTAAATATAACCACAAATTGAATAGGAAGTCGAAAATTGATACGATAGCAATATTTCAATGAAATATTATTATCATAGAAACGAGCCGGCCAACTTGTTAATTATATTATTAAAGAATAAAATAAGAAAAAAAAAAAAAAAAAAGAAAAAAAAAGAAGAATAAACACTAGCATCGCCAAGAATAGCAACGAGTTAGCTTTAAAGAGAACGGCAGAGATTTGCTTGAATATATTTTCAATGAATGGATGGCTGGTTTGTTAAACTTAAGCTTAACAGTCTGCTTACCTTCGCTGCTTTATTTGTTACAATCGCCTTAGATACGAAGATAATGTTTAAAAAATGAGGCATTCTTCTCTATTATGTATCCAAGAACATATATACATACACATAACTAACTAACTAACTATCTATCTATATATATATATATATATATATAGATTGTTATATATAACTAACTAACTAACTAACTAACTAACTAACTAACTAACTAAGTTACTAACTGACAACAATAACAAGAACAGCAAGAGCAATTACCCAAAACAAGTGTTTATTTTATTTTATATTTTCGTTCTTTGTTAAATTTTTATTTTGTGATTTTTTTTTTTTTTTTTTTTTTGTAAAATGGTTCTTCAACGTACTTACCTAAGCTATATAATTAAAGACATAAACATTGGAACGTAAATAAAAAGTTTATTGACCCTCCATTAAAAAAAAAAATAAAAATAAAAAATAAAAAACCGAAAACAGAAAAAGGGAAATAATTTACAACATGACTAAATTGAAGGGTTCAGTAACCATTTTTATGTTCTCAAATATGTTTGTTTTCCTCAAAAAACCTAACCGATAATTTAAAGAAAGACTTTTAAGATTAGTTCTTCTTCTTTTTATTTATTTCGGCAAAACATCCCAGTTAAAAAAGAAAAAAAAAAACTGGAAAATAAAAAATACTTTGTCGGGCAATAAATTACTTTGAAATATTCAAACAGGACAACATATGAATAAACACTTACTTGTTCAGGCAACTATCATACGAAAGTATAAATAATAATAATAATATTAATAATAATAATATTAATAATGAGAAGTAAGAAAATGATGAATCGGCTGTGACCAAATCTTTTGTAACCACCGCCATCTTTATCGTAAGAGAGGCAAAAAAACAAAAAAACAAAAACCGATAAATTAAAAATCCGTTGCTGAGTGAGGGTGAGGGTGGAGAGATTTTCCAGTTTTATTTAATGAATTACGAGCAAAAACGCAGAAAGCAGACGTGTTCTAAGTGTTTGTTGCATTGTAATTATGTCCGTCCATAATTTTTGTCAAATTTGAAGGTAATATCTTCATTTTTCGGCCCGGATGTTTATGTTGCATGCATGTATTTATGGTTACTGGAGATATTACACAGACGGACAGATAGACGATGAATATGTCAATAGAGTTTATAAAGTTTCTAAAGCATTTTTCTCGACGTCCCCCGACCTCTTGTTTAGCCACTGTACCTACATAGAGAGATTCCCATCAGTTCATGTTATGTATCTTACGTGTATATAGATCCAAGAGCGAGGTTATAAGAAAGCGAAGAAAAGGTCAAGAAAAAGATTGGAATATACAGAGAGACCGGATACATTTCTTATTTGATCAACTAAAATAATGACAGCATTATCTGACCAACTAATAAGAAGCCATCATATATTTTCTTCTTTTTTTTTCTTTTTTTTTTTTTGTTGATCCTTTTATGCTTTCATTCATTCACATGCCAGCAACGTTTTATCATTTATATCTATCAACTGGATCAACATAATAAGAGGAGAAATGTGAAATTATATTAACTGACAGATCGACACATTGATTTAATGAATGCTGTCCATTAAATGACGACCGCACGACTGCCTAACTGAGTAAATGGGTAAATGAGTGAATGATTGACTAAATGTCTGTTAAATTGTGTAAAAGGTGTCATAAAGATGTGGTTGCATTTTTATAATCCTATCGTTTTTTTCGCCTCAATTTCATTACATTTTCTTACATTTAATTTCGAACAAATTCTTATTTCATTTAATCACTCAATATGTCTCGACAGTCTACGGTATGTACGTCCAGCTGTTTGCTTTAAATCTCTTTCTTTGCTTGGACTTAATTGGGCGAACCGGAAAAGGGGGACAGATGTTGAGGGGGGGGGGGACTTGAAATTTTTAAAACTACATTAACGCAGTATGACAATTATGTTTTTATAAACACATACAGGCGCACATAAATATATTTATATATGTATCTAGTTTTGATCACAATGGATTACAGAAGTGTTTTCGTTTCGTTGCTTAGTTGTTTTCCTTTCGTGTACTTTGAGAGAAAATGTTAATTATTATAATCAATGTGTGTGTGTGCGTGTGTGTCTGCTTGAATGTGTAACAAGTTGTACATTCCATTCCCGATCTAGTATTAAGAAAATAATTTTAAAATGTTCGCTTGTTAGACGAACAATAATAGTACTTGGCATTCATCGACCTCATCATCATTATTATCATCGTCATGAATGTCAATTCATTTGCTTCAATTTGCTTCGTTTTTTCATTTTCTCTCTCTCTCTCTCTCTCTCTCTCTCTCTCTCTCT